AGAACCCATAAACACTCCTAAGAGATCTCATCTTGCAAAATATTCTCAAGAGCGCCTTGATTAAATGCTATTTAAGGACTTCTTAAAAGATCTCAATTGGTTCGTAAAAACTCTAATGCTCATCGTTGAAATTTTCGTGCTTGAAATCCCCTTGAAGTCTTTGTAGGTTCTAACAGATTATAGAACACTTTACAAATTCCAACAACGCCGTTACCCAAAACTCTAAAACATCTTGAGACTGAAATCGTCCATTTTCTGTTGTTTTTATTATTTATTTTTAAATTACAACGATATACACTGTGCCCAAGATAAGGATGTCTACCTGGATGTCTACTAGGGGGATCTCGGAAACCATAGAAACAGAGATGGTTAAGTTAAGGAAACGTTGCACAATAAAATTGAAGATCATGCTGTAAAAAAATCAAAAATTTTTTTGTTTTGTTTAATAATACGGTCACCTCAATATCTCTTTAATTTGGCGAAATACGAAAAATTTGTTAAATATAATTTTATATGTGACATTACGATCTATCTGATTGCATATTCAAACTTCCGGCGTCACTTCCGGTTTAGCCGGAAATCGATGCAACTTTTGTTTTTCAAATGCAACGCCTATGTTTTAAGATAGCATGACAGACACCATGAAATAAAATTTTGTTGATATACAAAAAAACCTTCAGGGTTATATGACATTACTTTCAAGTAATTTGTGAACTGCAGTATCTATTCGGTATCTTTGCCATCTCAGATAAATAATGATTGAGTTTAAAACCCAAATATTGTTGAAGACCACCACTTCCTGATGAAGCGGCCGGTCAATTAAGTACCGTTCCTCGTGTAGAAGCAGATTACAAGTAGAACAAGGTCCCTCAGGCATTATTCAACTAATTATTCACTGAGCCCTGCGGCTTGGAAGGTTTTCTTTTGATTGCTTTCAGGTTTTACTAATTTTTTTGGTAATTGATTGATTGATTGATTAATACTAAGAAAAGTAGTTTGTTCTAACTGCCGTTTTCGGGTGTAACGACTTGCTATTAACACCCCTATAGAAGCCTACCCAGAGTGTCGAAATTTGTGCTGTAAGAAGTGTAACCGGCTAGCATAACATCCTATTAATACGCTGAAACAGTTTGTTTTTTTAACAAACGTTGAACGGCACAACATAAAGGTGGTAATTTTACAAATTACAATGTGTTTGTAAGCCTTCAGCTTAAAAATTAGGTTGACTCCCACCAGGATAACATTATAGTCATTCATTTTTCCGACGACGTCTTTCGAAATTACTCCGACGATAAGCACTCGCATATTTTGCCGTTCTCACCGTGTGAGTGAGATCCATTTAAAAAGAGCGCAGAGTAAAATAAAAAAGGAATTTATTAATTTATGCCGACATTTGGATAATAAGGTAGAGAGAAATTCGGCGAGGAAACGCTTGCAGTCAGCAAAAACGTAAGCTACTTATCCGTCAAATAAAATGGGCCACTTTTATTATATTGTTTACTCGAGTCTCGGGGGCGTACAGCTTGAAAATTTGTACTTGACAGGTAAAATTCATTTATTAGCGAAATTGGAATTACGCAATTATGAGCACGCGCGTGCTTAATGGTAGTACCAATTGAAATAATTGCGGCACTTAAATTGTCTATATATTTAGATGGTCCTCCATATCACTTATGGCCCTTTAATTAACATGTACTTTAATACGTTTTAGTGGGAGGTTTTAAGTTTTAATTAACGTTAACCCTATGCTGTTAAAAATAGCTTTTGACGTTTTATTACCGAAAATGAAACGTTCAAAGTAATTTAGACGCTTGCATCTTATGGTTATATATTACTATTTTGATTTTACGAAATCTGGCAGTTAACTTAAATACATTTTCCTTTCATCTTCGGCTTGGTACGTTAATAAATGCAAAGTGCGGTCTACTCATCACGTTTATGAGCTGAATTGCCAAGGCGTAAAAGTCGGCGATCAAATGCCAAAAGAAATTATGCATGAAATTGTCAAAGGAGAGTCCGCAATTTAGAAGTGTAGTAAAAGTAAGAAAAAAAATGTTAATAATTTACACTTTCGCTGTAAAACGTTTAACCGCAGATAAAGCAAGATGTCTCATCGCATGTATTTGAATTCAAAATGAGGGTAGAGAAATGGATAATGTTTAAACTTGGGCAGTCGGGCAAGTTATTGAAATATTTATGTTCCCCGTTTTTACGGGCACTGCCGACCGAGATGAACAATTATCATATAATATTTCAAATCATTTGTAGTCTTCATTATGTAGGAAATGCTTCGTCAATATGCTCAAATTAGCAAAACAAATACAAAGGAACCAGAAATGATAATTGGAAGAATGAAATTAGTTTTAGAAAAACCAAAATTCTAATTGACATCCTTCAAAAAGATCAAAAGACAAAAACGACAAAGATTCGATAGTTTGTGTGGTGATTTCCACTATTTCAGTGTTTACAGAAAAAAATCCTGTGGTACTGGAGTAAAATATAACACCAATATTTAGGGAGAAATTAAAAAATTATCCACGCCTGATACAAAAGCCCATTTCCTCAGTTCAAGAAGCTAGCAATAGCTTAGACTGGTCTTAATTTAGGTTATAAGGTTGCATACATATATAATAGACAAAAGGCAAATGAGGGAGCGATGGCTGCTAAATGAATGCAAGAAGATAGAAGAGTTCGATCGAATAGGAAGGCACGACATCGTGTTCAACAACAGAAGAAACATGGTGTGGGATAAAGGAAAAACTCAAAGTAAGATAGCTATTGGCATCGAAAGCGAGGACGGATAACCAAGTACTGAATACATTAAAAGAAAATTTGGAAACGTTATACAAAGGAAATGAGAAACCTGAACGAATAAACATACAGGAAGAATCGAAAGTATCAGACAAAGGTAAGGGTGGGAATATTTTCATGTCAGAAATAAAGGCGGCTAAAGAGATGTGAAGAATGGTAAGGCTGATGGGATAGACGGGATACCAGTAGAGTTAATAAAGAGTTTAAAGAAGATTCAGAGGAAGAAGCAATGTGGAAACTGAAATTTGTGTAATGAGATTTACGAGAATGGAATCTCGCTCAAAGACTTTCTTAGAACCGTTTGATACTACTTCAGAAAAAGAAGGGAACTAAGAAATGCGAGGAACACAGAACCATCAGTACACAAAACCATCGGGGTTACAGCTTATACTGCTAGGATTTTGTTGCGGGTGTTGGATAGGAGGTTGACGAGGATAATGGAAAGCGCAGGGATGCAATTGCAGTAGTTAAAAGAATTTGAGAAAAATATATAGAACAAGGAAAAACTGTAGGTCTGTGTCTAGTAGATCTGGGAAAGGCATTCGATTGTATAAAATACGAAAAACATGACTAAATGGTTTGGAATGGGAAGAGAAGTTAGGCAGGGATGTTGTCTATAATCAACTTTATTCAGAGGGTGGCTGGAGGGTGTTAACAGGAAAATGGAGTGATAAGGTTAGAATTGAGGAAGTATGAAGAAGAGCAGTGGATGAAAGACAACTGTCAAGCAATATTAGAAATAGACACTGGGCCACGTGTTGAGGGGGGGTAATGGAATGTTGAAAGATGTATTGGAGGGATCGTTGGAGGCGGAAGGTGGAGGGAAGCGGGGAAGAAGAAAAGGCAAATGGATTGATGCTTTAAAGAAGGGAACCGGATATGTGGGGATGTAGAGAGAGAATTGTAATTTCCGGAATTATACCAATGAATATTAAAATTAAACGAAAGGTTTAAAATTAGAACATGAAAAAGAGCAAAATTTTAATCTTGGAGAATAAGAGAATACTAGAAGCCCCCAAATTAAAGAAAATTCTTGGAAAGCAAAAAGCATCCAAGGACCGAAAACGAATAAAATTGGATTTAAACATTTCTGACTTAAATACTTTTGAGAAGTATACCTACGTCACACACCGTTTATAGTTCGTGTCATTCCTTTAACCATCTGTCTGTATCATTATAATGCCATCACTCGCGTGAGAAACGTTCTATCGTTCGCAACCTTATGTTATATAAAATTAATCGTTATCGTCTATCGATATAAATGGCGGTAACTCCCCAACACTAAGGATACTTCGTTTTAACGATCTATATGGAAAATTGATGTGAACCTAGTACAGGCCATAACCAATCAGTAAACACCTAATATAAAAATAAGAATTACTAACGTATCATAGATATCTTAAATCTATATTTAGATTTAAGAACAATTTCGGTCCATTCATCCGATCCAAAATTATATAGGCCTGCTGAATTTTGCAACCTTTGCTAATGAAAATTTGTAATAAAGAAGATGAGGATATACCCAAGTATCAGGAATATCAGTCGTTTAATACCCTTCTCGAATATAAAATTCATCAGATATAGGGCGTTCGCCTTAAATTTAACTTTATTTTCAATTTGACAACATTTCAACCGTAATAATTAAAATGTTATTAATATCTACTTCAGAATCTGTTCTAAATTGCGGCACCCCTAGAAATTCATAACGGAAGCGTTTTCCTAAAACAACTACGACACAAAAGAGAGTACCACGTTGTGTAAACTTGAAACAAGAAGTAATTACAATTCGATATGACATGATGAATTGAATGGTGAAAGTTTAAAAGTAGATAAGTGCCTTAAGGGAAATAATTAAGGTCTACCTTTCGTAGTGTGTTTGCCACTAATCTCGAAGTGTCACGAGACTGCTTCCAACTAGCATAAAACAACTTATTTTATTGCCGGGCAAACTTTGATATTTTATTTTATAAAACTTTAAATGGGTTAGGAACTTTGTAGGGAATGACACAGGGAAAATTTTAATAGATGCTCACGTGTAAAGTAGGTACCAGTATAATTTTGCGTCAGATATAAATTTCGTTCATCGACCATTAAAAATCAATACCGTAACGTTGTCATTCTAAATTCAACAGTCAGCAGGCTAAACAAATAAATTGATAAGTAAAAAACGTGTTTAATTACTTACCTACCTATGGCGTTGCCTTGCAGAGAAGTGCGAAATTAACCTGAAACGTAAAGGAAATTAATTACTAGCCAATCTTAAAATAAATTTTCTTCGGAAGAAGTGTTTTTCGCTACTTCCTCGATCAAATTGTTTTTTAATTAAATTTAAGTTGTAAATAAGTCTTTCAAGTTTTCAAACTCCACAAAAATGAGTCCAGGAAATTTATGTTCAGGATTAATTTCGAAAAAGTTGCGATTCCGTAATTATATTATTTATTGCCTTCATTCGTGCAGTCAATTTTTTATAAATTGTGTATTATGGTAATAAACTTGTGCAGCGGTATGTTACACTGTCTAATACGTAGTTCCCTGGTGGCACGACATTCGTTATTAATTTCGTGACGGGAAAAGCGTTGGTAAATTACACTTTTACGTAAGTACCTCCTAATTTATAGGCTTTCTATCGTGCGTTTGAGGGATTGAATATTTATGGGAGGAATTATGTAGATCATTTACACTGAATCCATGTGGTAATACCAAATCGTTTGATGGAAGCTCTTCAAATGGGAGTGCCAATAAATTTATAATCAGATTTCGCCGAATAACCAAAACCCAATTCACTTTCATTTTTCCCAATAGCATGTCAATGATCATTTCGTCGACTATAACTAAAATACGGACTATCAGTTCGTTAAACGTATATAATATAACATTGAAAAAAGTATTTTACTGCATACCATTCAAAATGGGGGTAAATGCGCAAATTAAAACAGAATTGAAGAAAAACCGCGTTTGACTGTTTGTTTTTGAAAATCTAAATCAAGGGGGACTATGATATTCAATGGCACAGAAAAAATTATGTTTGAGTTCGTTTTTCAGGAAGGCTGTCTTTCCCCCAAACCAATCAACGCAGATTATAAATAACTTAAACAAAAATAAAGAAAAGGTAGGAAACCTCGTGTATATTGGGTAATGGGACTATAGAAATCATAAACAGAACTAAATTGCAGAGGAAGGACTAGTACTTACTTTTGTTTTTAGTTTGTACGTTTCTTTATAACAAATACTTTGCATTTAAATTCGTTAACGATTTTTATAGTTCTCAAACTTCGTTAATTCTTCCTGAGATTCATTGAACTTCCTCTTCAAAAATAAACGGAAACACAATTTGAAAAGAAAACATTTCCGCCCTATAGTAATTGTGTGAATTGCGCAGTATCCCTTAAAAGATAAACGCAATATCACTACTGAGGCTTTTTTTTAATCATTCCTCTCTTGTGAGAAGCATTTCAATTCCGTCTATGTGCCTTTTTCAATTCAATACCGATCAACGTTGTATATTTGTTTTCAGATTTTGAAGGGCAGCAGAAAAACGTTGCCTAGTAAACAATTAAAAGTTCTAAGGGCCGAAATATCCACTTCCTAATAAATTTATTTGCCAAATTAATTTCTTAGCAACAATTAGGTCAATAATTGTATCCATGGACTTTACTCGACGAATAACTTTATTAAAATGTGAATATCTCGGTTCAAAAAAAAAACGTCTAAAAATCTCCGTCCACAACTCGCATAGTTGTCTTAGGGATGGACACGACCTCGAGTTAAATTCGACTCGGCTCGAAATCTCGACTCGATAACGACCCGAACTTTCGAGGCGAGCATTGAGCCGGCTTATTACTTTTTGGAGTCGAGTCGAGCTGCTCGTTTCGGGCTTTCTTGCTGATCGAACAGCTCGACTAAGTTTATTGAAGAATTTAAACATTCAATTTTCCTATATGTGTAATATGATACGATACCGCACAAAATGTTATATCGTCTCCACTTGCGCTTTTAGCGCAATGGGACACACCTTTCTTATGGATCTAAAAACCGATCTGCGAGTAGCATTCAGTGAAACGCATCCTCATAAGAATATCAACCATAAAAGTATTTCATAGAATTGGTACTTAAGTTACAGAACACGGGATCAGTATATAATAAAGAAGTTACACAGCCGAGAACTTTGGATGAAGTGTGTTCGACCAATTTTGCTGCAACACCAGCACTTCGATCGGTGGCTTCAAGAATCTATCTACCGGGTCAGTTCCAGTGGTGTAGCTAGGCCTTTTTAGGGAGGGCTGCAGCCCCCCCAATTCTGTATCCAGCCCCCCTTTATATATTTCAATAGCTCAAGCACGAAATTATGTATATCCAGAAATTGAGTATTTGGTATGGGTACTCCAACCTCAAGAATAGATATCTTGTAACAATGTCTCATTAAAACCATCTATTAACATTAATTATGGAGGCATACGTCGATAATTTAAATTTTTGAAGTACAGGCGTCTAGATGTCGCGTAATTAATATTCAATATTTCAGTTGATTAATGATACAAGAAAGTTCATCTCGAACGCAACCCGCCTACCTTAATATTCATATAAAATTTATGATCATTATTTTCAAATTGAGAATTTTGCTTGCGCTACCGTTTGCAAACGATATGTTTCTTTAAAAATAAATTCTGTCAACAGAGGTTTTCCCAACGGTAGTTCAAAGTAACTGAAACTCCCGTATACAATCTTGAAACCCAATAAAATATTCAGCTAGTTCAAATCACACCCACATTTAACCTACGTCAACGACAGCCTTGTAGTAACATATTGTCCTATTTTAGTTCTAACTAATACTAAATTCTGGGAAGCATTTAGATAGTAGACAATACAGTTGTTATCAAGTAAAGGCGCAGGGGGAGTAGAACCAGTTTCAATTTGAGCTAAAATGGTTGCACTTCCATATTCATATATTTCTGGTATGTTCCCACTTTCCCAGGAAAGAGTTTCTAGACTACAGTAACTCCAAGTTTAAGATCTGAATGTTATTAATTACCTACTAGGTTTCTCTGAACGTTTGTTTGTTGGTACGTCAACAAGAAACGGTAGCAGCTATACGCAGAAATGTTATGCAATGTTTTTATTTACAAATAACATTTCCCTTTCACATGGTATTACAGTAAACACAGTGTTCCTTATCCCCTTTGCCCTTCAGCGATTTTTCCTTTTACAAAAACTAAAGTAAACTATTTCCATAAACCGAAGGGTGTGGAACTCAGTGTTTCACCGTTTTATTAATGATCTAAAATAAGTTCCGCGTTGTTTGCATAGCAATTTGACTAACTCAATGTTAAAGTAAACATCTCTCTAATTATTGGATGTTATTAATAGTTCGCGTATAAGCTTCATTTTTACAGCCCCTTACGAAAACACTCCTTTACTGGAATAAATTACGCGCGTGTCTCAAAAATGAAGGTAATGGAATGTATTCAATAATACGTATGGCTCTATATTTATAGCTTGGCGGAAGTTTCTGTTACTTTTGCCACCTTTGTTTGTAGCGCGCTTTCAACCTAACCTTAATAGCGGGAGTCATGCTTGACAGAATGTGCATTGTTGGAACGACGGAGTATATTGATGACCGTTCATTATGGGGACTTTCCTTGAGGTGACATTCAGTAATTGTGTTTGCTTAACAATGACCGAAAAGCTGCAGGAAGTAACTTTTAGAGGGAAGTATGTAAATTAATGCAAAGTATTTTGTGATTCTCTAGAATTGGTCGCAAACACTTCGACTACTCCAATTAAAACTTTTTCCTGGCACTATTGTCATCTATTTCCATTTTTAACTCATTGTTTGTCTTAATTAATGTCCGGAAATAAGTTATCGGAGTTTTTCTAATGAACCGGTAACTAGGAAAAGTAGTCTAAAGCTAGACGTTTCTGGTTCTTGTTCTTGTTTCCGATTTGATTTTCTCGTACGCGAAAATATGAGTTGGTTAGGGATGGTATGGAGTGGTGCTGTGTTTATCGCATCCGCACAATCGCAGATCGCTTTGGTAGAAGACGCGATGAGTTCATACAGAGTATTTTTTCTGAGAGTGAAATACAAGTCTCCTGGTTTTACTTCTGCTTTTGAGCGACTCTCAAATGTCATCGTGGGACGTTTCTTGTTTTACACTAATAGTAGTGCTTACAATTGTCAGTCGATTTCTGAATTGATTCTTCCTTTACAACCAGATAGATCCATTATCAAGCACGGAATTTTTAACTTAAGCCATTGTAAAGAATGACGAACGCATAAATTGTGCCCATTTTGTAATCCTTTGCCTATTCTGTGGTTTTGTGTGGAACGAATTAATAATAAATTAATAATTTTTGTTAGTACGTGTAATCTGTTAATAAATATACAATTATGGCGAAATTCGATCATGATCGCAAAGCTTACTTCTTAGCATTATGTTGTCAAATCCAGAAATTTTATACAACCATTAATCTTGACGCACAAAAGGCCCGTGCCGGGGTACAGCGATCTTAATTAACCATGAAAAAAGAATTCGATAGAAAATGTTGGAGTAATACAAGTTTTATATTTCACATAAAGCTATCCACAAAGACAACAATAAATATGCAGGAATATGCATATGAACGGAAACATAGTATTTGAACACTATAGTTGTGCTAAATATTCTATTAGTCCTAGGTATCACATCTAAAATAAAAGTACTTACCGCACATACCTAAGTGCGTAATTTGACGTTATTACACGAAAAGAGCTAAGTACTACTACTGAAGCTATTTCTACGATATTTTGTTTCTTGTAGTAATCATGTCACTTTCCTACTACATTAATGCCAAGGGACAAATCATTAGAAAAATAAAGTGAATGCGTATAATATTGATTAGCATTATATCACTAATTAATGGATGATTTGAACACATTTAGTAACAATCACCTTATTTTATATAATCAGTTTCCACATACTCCTAAATTGAACTTCCCTGTTTGAAAATTACTTCTAAAACATGAAGCGTATGTTTACAAATGTATTGGAGTTGTTTATGGGTAGATATGTATGGTTTTAATATCAACCGCACATGTTTTTGACGTAGCAAAGAGTAACAAAATACTGGTTATATTAGTACGTAGCGGTCACTTCTTCTAAATACATACATAAAATCAGAGAAATGCGTGTTAAGTAACACAAAAAGTAAATTTTGGTAATTTTTACTATTCGATATGAATACATCA